GGGCGCCCCCTGCCCCCCCTCCCGCCGCAGCCGCGTGCCTTTGGAGCAGTAGTTGTGCCGGTACAGGTAGGCGTCCTGCGGCTGCTGCTGCCAGCGCACGATGTAGTAGCTCAGGTTGCCGTTGGGCAGGGAGGGCGGGTTCCACTTGACGATCAGCTGGGAGGACGAGTTGGAGGCCGAGATGACATCCAGGGGGATGGAAGGCACTGGAGGGAGAACGGAGGCGTTTTGGGAGCCGGAAGGGACCCGAGATCCAGGCCCTCAGACTCCGTGCAAACCACGTCCGGCCGTGAGAGGAGGGCCGAGAGCGCAGGCCAGTGCCGGCATCTCCCTCTGGGCATCCATGACCGGTCACCTCGGGGAGACCACACGTGGCTGAGCGGTGGCCGGACAAGGTGCTGGGGGACCCGGGGCGGGAGGATGCCCGGGAGCCCCCAGCGAGTCCACACGTGGAGTTTGCACACGTGTTGCAGGCGGTGAACATGAGCAGCACGCGTTTCATCTGAAATTTTGGAGTCACTGGTTCACACGGCAAGAACCCAGATGAAAAGGGGAAGTAAAAGGGGCTGGAAGGAGAGAGGGAGGAGAGAGAGAGAAAGAGAGAGAGAGAGAGGGAGAGAGGGAGAGAGAGAGAGAAAGAGAGGGAGGGAGGGAGAGAGGGAAAAAGGGAGGGAGAGAGGGAACGAAGAAGAGAGGGAGAGGGAGAGGGAGAGCGAGGGGAAGGGAGGGAGAGGGAGAGAGAAGGAGAGAAGGAGGGAAGAAAAGAGGGAGTGGAAGAGAGAGGGAGGGAGGAAGGGAGAGAGGGAAGGAAGGAGGGAGGGGAGAGGGCGCGTGCGGAGGACTGAGGCGGCGGCGCACGCGGTACCTGAGGCGTTGGTGCGGAGGTAGAGGATGTCGCTCTTGGCCCCGCGGATGTGGTCGTTGTCCACCATGGTCAGCGTCACGGCCTTCACGTAGATGGCGTACTGCGTCCAGGGCTTCAGGCCGTGCAGCAGGATGCCGGGCTCCACGTCCTTGTTGGCGGGCAGGTCCACGTCCACCATGTTCCAGCTGTTGGAGCCGCAGGCGTCCTGGCCGTCGTACTCGGTGACGTTCTTGTAGGGCCTGGGAGACGAGCGAGCGAGCGAGCGGCTCAGGGCCGCCCTGGGCGCCAACCGACCCAGCCTCTCAGAAACCCTCCCGCTTTATTGTTATTTTATCTACCTATTCATTTTATTTTATTATCATTATTATTATTATTATTTAAAACAACCCCTTTCTCTTTTAAAAAATATACTGGTATTGATGTCAGAGAGGAAGGGAGAGGGAGAGAGACAGAAACATCCATGATGAGAGAGAATCATGGAGCGGCTGCCTCCTGCACGCCCCCTACTGGGGTTGAGCCTGCAACCCAGGCTTGTGCCCTGACCGGGAATTGAACCATGACCTCCTGGTTCCTAGATAGATGCTCAACCCCTGGGCCACGCGGGCCGGGCTCCTTTGGATTTATTTTATTCAAACGCCTCCACCCCCTGAAGCCAGTGCCTTCCCACGTGTGGCTGCCACTGGCAGTGAGGGATGCCACGTGACAGCGGAGGAAGCAGGGACCCCCACCTCCCCCGCCCCCAGGACGGGACGCCGGCAGGACTCACGCTTCCTTGTAGTAGACGGTGAAGCTGATGAGGTCCCTGTAGTCTGGGGGCCGGTACCGGTGCCACGTGATGATGATGCGGTTCTTCCAGGTGTTGGTGGAGGTGAAGTGCAGCATGTCGCTCTCACCTGGGGCGCGGAGCACACCGTGAGGCGCGGGCACCCACCACCTCCTCCTCCACGTGTCTGCGGGGTCCCCTGCCCCGCGCCGCTTCCCTCGTCTCCAAGGCTGCTGCTCCCTGATTGTGGTCACAGGCAGCGACGGATGTCATGTGACA